CTGGATATTGTGATGTCYTATCTAGAAGTCTACGATGAACAAAGAGAAGAAATGCGTATCAATGCTTTGCAAGTGTTGAAGACGGCCATGTTGAACTTGTGGCCAAGGTAGTTTGCAAACTTCATGTTAACTGTCAGGAAGGAATGGAAGATTTTATTTCCAAGCTGCTCTAGCTACCAACATTGATTAATAAACGTTTACTCTTTTTTTACTCTTTTTTTTCTTTTTCTTAAATCTTTCCGTGGTGCCCATTTCACTCAAGTTAAGTGTGATACTACATGATACGTTGAATTTTTTTTCAGAGTTGAAAGACATGCTTCGAACATCCTCAAAGCTCTTTTAAAGCTTATTGTTGATTGTGCTGATATAGATAATGCAGAAGCCAAAGGTTAGTTAGTGATAGTAGACATTTTATTAAAGAATTTAGTATTGATTATTAACAGGRCTGACTAACTTGATGCAATGTGACATAAGCCTGGTTTTCAGTAGCGACGTTAGAGCAGGCGCAAAAGCAAGYGCAAACGCAAGAGGCCTTGTTTCATAGTGAAAGCCGCTCAACGCATTGAGAAAGCAAGCACAGCAAAAGCGCAAGATAACAAAATGGTCCTTTTTTTCTTGTGCTTGCTTTTGTTCTTGCTCTTGATTTTGGTAGTGAAAAACGTAATACATTTTGAGCTGCACAAATCTAGTAATGTAATAAAACAGGCTAGTAACGAGGTATATTTTTTTGCTGTTGATCCGGATCAAAACGGCCTAAAAACGTGATCCCGATCCCAAAACTCCGTACATTTTGAGCCGTGATCCCCTTACAGAATCGTTGAAAAATATCATTGATCCCGATCCCAAATGAAAAACCTTTGATCCCAGGTTAAATCTATTTGATCCGGATCCTGGGCCTAAATCCTGATCCCTGATCCCAAAATAGTCCAAAAAATGACGCTGATCCCTGATCCCAAGACCTCGTTACTAGCCTGAATAAAAACATTTAGTTCATGTCGTGTTTGCCAAGTTGCTTGGAACAAGCTGCATAATTATTTTAAYTAACATTTAGGGGAAGTATTTGAAATTATGTTTTTTAATCTTGGTTTTGGTTTCTGTTYAGAAAACCTTCTTGATTCCTGTATACAGTGTTTAGTAGTGTTATACCATTGCTGCCCTGACCATGTCCTGGTTTGTATTATTTCTAAAAYCCTGTTCAAACATAAGACTTCAAGGCCATGAATGCAAGTTTGACTTGGGGATACTTCCAATCTAGTGTTCAAACAAGAACACTGACTTGCCCATTTTATGTCAATCATAGAACGTTACTGATAATTTTCTATGTTTTACAAATGACCTTTTTTTGAAAGTTGCTATCTGATTGTTATAAGTCAAAGATGGCAACTTTCATATGTGAGAGAATCCCGAAAAGGTTCTTGGATACAATGATAAAAAGTAATCGAAAGTATCTGCAAGATCAGGCAACTGCGCTTGTGGCCTTGCAGTCTTGTTTAATATTTGTCAAAGAGTGTAATAGACTGAAGTTATTATTTAAGAATTATAAAATTTTTGATATATAACTCGCGCTTTGATTGGCTGTCGACCGTGTTTACATATATCAGAGGACAGAGACATGGCTAACCGGAAAATTTTGTTTTTCGCTCGAAAAACGCAGAAATATTTTATAAAAGAACTATAAAACGGTCGCTTGTGTCTCTCCGTCTTCTGATATAAACATGGTGGGAGTTGAAAAGCACTCGAAAAGCAAGAGAAACTACAAGCGTAGAGTACAAAGACACGCGCGCCGTTTTAAATTTTATCATATTATAACGTTTTTTTCTTTTTACTTATGTCTTTTTTCATCTATCTTTATTTTAGAGTTCGTTCCACTCTTTGAAAGAAGAAGTCAACCATACGGAAATCTTATATTGTATTAACAAAGTACTGGAAGAAGTTACTAGMTGACACGATGGAACAACATTACTACAGAGGTGCGCTCTCTTGTAAGAATTATCGAACACTTGCTTCAAGATTCACATGTCTCTAGTTATTCTCTGTTGTTCTGCTGGAACTATCACATTTAGAAAGGGTTTGTTTAGGGGAACTCCAGTTACTGAGGGACTATGCATTTGACTGTGAATAAGGAATCAGGAAGGGGATGCTTCTTTACCTTACGAAGTATTCGGTTTAGTTTAATTTGATTTGGTCAACCTACAGCAATACAGAAGTTTCACTTTCTCAAAAATTTAGCTGGCATGCTAAAGCTCTTTCTGGAAGCATTGAATACTGACTGAATGGTGTTTCAACAAACAGGAGGAGCCGGCCGGGTCCTGTTCTTCTAAATACTGTTTAACTGTTCTTGTACGAATGTTTTCCTAGGAAAGAGATTTTTGAGAACTACATTGTTGACAGTCTCACAAGCAAATGTGGCGGCCTTCCTTCTTTAAAATATTTTTGTTTCTTATAAACGTTTTTAAGGTAAAAAAAGCCTTATATAACGTTTAGTCTTGGTCAAAAAGTTAGGAAATTTTTATTTTCCTGGCAAAAATTCTTAGAAAGTATCCCTTCCCTGGAGAGTTCTTTTTTCCTGAATTTATTGCTGGCAACCAGTTGTGACTTACAGCTGGCTGGGACATAAGAACAGATATATTTCTCCCAGGAACCCGTTGGCTCCTCCTAAACAAACRCTAAGGACATGTGTGCGTATGGACTCGCTGATTTCCACTACAAAGGAAACCCAAAGCCAATGCTAAACGCAAGTCCACAAGGCACTTTTAAAAACATCATGAAAGACGACCCAAATTTTAGCGCAAACCCAATGTTTTTTCTTTAATATACAGCAATAATGAATGTTGAGGTAGTGAGTATGAGTGAATATAGGGCCACAAGTTTATTAGTCTAGAGACTATTACGTGCTACCCTCTCAAAATAAAAGACTTTATTATTTATTTTAATACGGAAATTTCATTTTCTCAAAGTCAGTTTAGCTGGTAAATTTATAATCAATCAAAGAGCAAYATCAGAGCATGAATTTAAGTTTATTTTTCTTCCAATAAAATATTCAATTTTACAACTATGTCCTAGTATTAAAAGACTCGTTGCACTAGGCCACTGCTTTTGATCAAGAACTAAATTCTCAAAGGAATTTTTCAAGATTTATACGAGATTTTAAACTCTGATCGCAAGAGGGTCATATTGAGCCTTACAATAAATGTGCTTTTGTATTTATCAAACTAAGACTATATKTTAAGGATTTATTTCCCCATTTCTATCAATTGTCAATTGTGTTTGTTGCTAACATGTCCCACATACTCAATTGAATTTAGGCTAACCTTGCCCTCCCCCACCCCYACCCCTCACAGTAATTCCAGCACAGCTGAAATGAATATTAAACAAAAAATGCATTGCAAATCAATTGCAATGTGTAAACCCTAAGCTATTGCCTTCCTGTGGAATTTCATCGAGTTTCAATCTAGCAAACTGACTTTTTTCGTATYTTAAACGTCCCCTTATACTATGCAATGTTTGCAGCACTTTTCCCAAGAATGCTTGAAAAAATAGAGCGTCAACAATCAGATAAGACCAATGTATTAAAGCAAAACAGCAGTGCATACCAAAGCAAATCTCTCTCAAACCACAGCGCAAAGGCATGTTGCCACTTTGCACTACATTTTGTTCAAAAACCAATTTCTCAATGAATTTATTGTAATTCAAAGGAGAATTTGGCTTTTAATCATAAATGTTGCTTACACTTTGTGCATTTATACAAATTTATTTCGTAAAGTAATATTATTAGATAGCTAAAAAAAATTCTTATGATAAAATAATGCGAATTTTGGCGTAGGGCCGCCACCATGTTCTCAAAACTTGCCGTGCAAAGTTGCTGCTTTGTGGAAAAGTGGAGAGATTTTCATTTTGCCATAAAAGCCGGAAAGACTATTAAATTTAGTTTGGCTATAATTACTTGTAAAGAAATAGAAACAATAGATTGAGTGCAGGCGTTCATTTCAGAGGCGAGCACGCTCAAGGATAAACGGGCGGTCGCCGGAAAGAGTCGCTCAGTGACGTCATGCAAGGMCAGAAACGAGGAACGTMCAGGCTGGCTTTAGTATGTGCTATCGACTKWATCAGGCTGGACTCGTGYGGAAGTGGTCTTATAAATTGAAAATTCTTTACGGTCAAATGAAAATCGCTCCGTTTATGGAAACAGCATTTTCTTCCAGAATAGAGTATTTTGTTTTCATATGATTTTAAACCCTGATATAACTACAATGCTAGATGGCAACTAAAATATAGCCTATGTATTATTTTAATAACCTACCCTGTCACGTGACCTACTTACATCAAAGCACAACGGTCCTTTGTGTAATATAGGAGCCATTGTGGAGCAATGCCAAGTCCAAAAGGTCATTTCCAATTTTCTAGTATATTACAGTATGAATTGTCACGTGACGGTTCAAGTCACGTGATTTCATTTTACAGTATTCTATTGTGCAACGTCACGTGGTAAATCTATGCTAGTGATTATGAATCCGATTTATAATGTTTATAATCCATTTCGCGTGTTGTCACGTGATTTGTTTACGTGTGCTAAACAAGTCACGTGACTCATCTAAAAGACCCATAATTCCTTGTCAGTAATGCTTAATTGTGTAATGTATGCCATTGTGTAATAGCCCGTCTTGGCGCAGCCAACATGTCAGCCCAGTGCCTTAGGTCCGCACCGGTCGATAGCTCACCCACCACGCACTTTCCTATAACCTCGCTCTTACCAACTCTGTCGTAGTCCAACACGGAAATAATTAACGAACTCTGCTCGATTTTCTCAAAGGAAACTTGGAAGGTGAACGTTTCRTTGAAGTAGGGATCCARTGTGCGTTTCTTGACCGTTGTCTTTTTCTTTTTGATTTTACGACCTTCTTGGACCAAAGCGATTTTCACGTAAGGATCTGGATTASGATATGAATAGTTTGTTAAATTCTACATCGTTGAACTAAACATAATGTCGCTTGAGTTAAAATGGAGTATGTTCCCTTTRAGAGCTTTATATATCTTTACAAATTAAAGCCATTGAATATACCACTTGAATAATATAGAAATGAAAGAAAGTCAATAGTGCTTAGAAGGAGGCAATTCCGGGAGAAAGACCCTTAGGAATAAATTGGAAAAAATTAATTTCCGACCTCGCTGGGATTCGAACCCACGACCTTCGGATTTGTACTACTGAACGTCTGAGCTACAAGGCCAGACTGGGAGCAGGTCTTTCTCCCGGAATTGCCTCCTTCTAAGCACTATAGCTTTCTTTCATTTCTTTATCGTTCTATCATAGTGCCATGCGGTCCTCATATTAATACCACATGAATATGCAATTTCGGCTCATTCGCGACACTACTTTTGTCCCCGATTGTATCTGTGTCTGTATCTTTTTTTGTGGCTAAAGCATGGTTGAGGTTAAAACCACAATGCTATCGCAGTTTGTCAGTGAGTAATTTGGACATTTTTTTATGCCGT